GCAAAGGTGACTGAGTATCATATGAAAGCGCAGCATGCTTTAAAATGCCCCGAAGTTATTAGCCCGAACGAGCGAAATTGATTTTGTTGCGCAGGATTCTTGTGCTACTTTCTATTAAACGAGAGCCACGGCATAAATTGGAAGGTTTTTCAGGAACTTTCCAAACGTACGACATTCATCAGGGTAACGCAACAAACGAACGATATGTATGTTCCTTATGAGATCTGAACAACTTTAAGGCTTTTTTTCAAAGCTTCGAAAACCCGCAGTTTTAGCTTCACTTGCCTTTTTGTGATTGATTGTTGAGTTTCTTTTTGTGATAAAACTTTATAATTCATTGAATTCGTTGGAAACGACAAAAGAGAAGTTGGACTTCTTTCAATAAACACAGCACAGCAGATACCTCATTATGAACGGAACATGGAAGTTGTCAAGAATCGAGCGGTTGGTAGTGGGATTATTGCATGGAAACGCTAACGGGACTGAAACGCATGCATGCAGAACGAATCGAAATATCACATATAATTAAAAGAGCGTAATTTCTGAAGATATCTGACAAGGACGATGATTGCTAGCCATCTCAATGAGATCTACTTGATAAGTTCTTCGACGACCGAGATGTTACCGGTACCGTCGACGGAGCAAATCCATTGGATACATTCTAGCTTATGCCCCCAATCGGCATGAGAGTCGTCTTTTTCATAGAATTTGCTCTGCAGTTGACGTTTTAAAATTCCGTCTGGTCCCTGAAAATCACAAGCTGAACTCTGAGCAATATTTTCGTAGTGGACACTTATAGGGATGCTAGGTTTAGCCTGACAGCTATTTTACCATCAAACTCCCTCTCATGTGGGTAGTACTACAGGGCGGGGTATGGTGGGAGGGCGCATCGCGACTCTGCGATGTCCACTCTTCCGCGCCCTGAGATGAGGTTATTTCTAGCTGTCTGCTTTTTCAATGGTCAGACTTAGAAGAGGTAGAGATCGCGTGTCGTGCTGCGATGCGCACTCCCCTACCCCTAACATAATAACTCTCTAAGGCTGCGTTCACGTGCGACGTCGTCAACGTCGACGTAACCTGCGTTTTCTGCGACTAGTGGAGATTATATACTTATCGATCCGACGAAAGCTGCGTAAGTTGCGTAAGCTGCGTAACCGACTTCTACTTTGCGAAGAATAGATACGTATCGATTCGACGGTTACGCAACTTACGCAGCTT